CACCAACTAGCAGTCAGAAGACACGATGAAAACTCCTTAATCTCACAACACATGGACAGTCAAAACCATAACTTCTACTGGGAAACTGTCAGCATCTTAGACCAAGCTAAATCCAAAAATGCTAGGGAATTCCTGGAAACTTGGTATTCAGACAAGGTAGTCATCAACAGGCACATAGAGATAACATCTACACACGATTCAAAAGAGACAATAAAAAGGAAACAAAAGACGAGAACATCTTCTCACCAGCAATCATGACCCAGATAAGCAGAGATTAACACCAATATTATCACCAGACACACAATCAAGCAGTAAACAATACCCTAATCAAGGAACTACCAGGAAAAAAAAACAAACCACCAACACAGGCAGGGCAAGCCACTGTATATAAACAGAGAGCAAACCCCATTCCATTCTAGCACTGAAGACATTACCTAGCCTGGTAATGAAATGTTTGCAATTTTCTTGCAACCAACCAAGCTCAGAGAACCCCAAGGACTCCACAGTTCAACCCTGAGCTACACACATTCTCTTCTCTTGGTAAAACAGGGTCAAGAATGAGTAGTTGTGGAAGAAATATGGACTGAATACAAAAGTGAATGATGAGTATAAAAAGAAGTAAAAAGTATGATGATGTGGTTTAGTCATAGAGTGAGAATGAATGAAAATTGGAATTCCAAAACAAATACATGAAGGCAGAGTGAATGGATCAAAAGGAAGGTGAAGACTGAGAAAGTCATGGTAAGATGAAGTTGATGAAATCTTCAGAAAGAGCATAAAGTTTAAAAAACCAGGCAGTATATGAAGCAGTGCACAGATGTGTCAGAAGCAAGGAGAATTTATAAGGATAGAAAGATACAGAAAGGTGTACTGAATGATGTTGGTGTAAATTAGTGTTAGCTATAGTTCTCCTTTTTTTCTCTCATGCCTTTAATTTCTTTGGTTTACTCCTTTTTTTATGCTCTGCATAACATTGCTTAACCTAAAAGGGAATGGCGTGGTGGGTATGTATGAATGCAGCTATACTATTCTGCATGAAATTTGCTACGTATGGACTAGTTGCTAAAAAATAGATGGTGCCACACGCTACTATCTATGTTGCAAGATTTGACTATGTATCCTCCATTCATTATATCAGATGCCTCATTTTCAGTATGCAGGAACAAATTCAGTTATGCATGTAAACATGATCGATACACCCTGTTCCATTAAGGGAACTGTGTACAAAAACCTCATTGCTGAATGAACGAAGCTTTTCCTAGCCAAACAGCTGGTAATTTCCTACCTTGTGATCCTTTTTGTCTCAAAACCCTGACCCTCTTCTAACATTACTATCACGCTTTTTCCTGTGATTCTCCCCATCTCTTCTCCCATCCCCAGAGTTCACACTTTCAGTAACTTTACAGCATTTGCCCAGAGGTGCTGTACAACTTGCAGAATACCAGCCTTTTGTTTTTGGGAAGGCTGAAGTCGTTTCCTATTTCCATTCTACCATTATAACAGTAGAAAGAGAATGAGTTGCAGACCTAAGCTAACATGGAGGGACAGGCAGTGAGACGCTGTTGACAGTCTGAGCATTGTTGTTGATTACTTTTGTTTTTTTATCTTTTTCAGATATAGATGAATGTGCCGTATCAACGGGGATCTGTGGAGCAGCTCATTGTAAAAATTTAATAAGCTCTTATGCATGTGTTTGTGATGCTGGTTACAATTATGATGAGGTCACAAAGACTTGCAAAGGTTAGTAGGTAGAATTAAATTCTATCGTGAGAATGCTTAGTTTGATATATGCTGTTGCCTCCCCACTTTGCTCTTAATTTCCTATATACCTCTAGATTGCAGCTGGGTGTTGAAAATTAAGCAGACGGAGTAGTGAGTCAAATTTGATCTCTTGAAGTAAGGTTGTATCAAACATTGCGATGAATATTAATATTAAATTAAATTAAGATTGTATCAGACATTGTAATGAATATTTTTTTGGAAGAATAACTTTTTAAAAGGTACAGTAAATGTATTGTTATCCAATTTATTAAAAAATCATCTGATGACTATAGAGCTCAGTGAAGGTTTATAATCCAGCTTTCTGCAAATGAACATTTCCTTTATTTGCTTCTGGAGGCCAGGATTGAGAAAGCCCAACTTTATCAAATGAAGGCATTGTTAGATAGAAAATATACTGCTGTGGCTATTGATTATTATATTTAATCTGCTACCACTGTAGCTTTTTAGATATTCTAGTTCAGCAATTTTAACTGTTTATGTTCTGTTTTTATATTGCTTTTATTTTCTGTAATACTAGTTTGCTTTTACAGAAAAAAAATCAGATTATCATATAAAAGGCATTTATGAAATACTAATTTTAGATTATGTAGCAATAAGTGTCTAGTGGATGCCAATGTGCTGATGTGCAGCAGAACCTTAAAATTAGTTAAATTAGGTAATATTGCTCCCTTGATTCAGATTTGTATTGGTCAGTTCAAACAAGCTAACCAATCTAATGAGAGTGAAATTTGAACATAGGTAACCAGACTTACAATAAAGTGGATTATATTATTGTTCTAATTTAACACCTGGAAACATGTTTCACTTTTATAACTTTCCTGATAATGATTAAAAGCAGATGTATTATAAGGGACATCACCATCAAGAAGCTTGATTAAGGCTGCAACCGTATAATTTATTATAATTTTATTGAAAATTTTAAAAGCAAAAATAAAAACTAATACAAACTAATAGAGACTAAGATGGAAAAAGAAAGAAAGAAATCAAAGAGAGCTAAAAGTGTAAGAAAGAAAATAAAAGAAAAAAGATACAAAGAAGTGGTTTCTAATCTTCTTTATAGCAATTATAAGTACAATTATAAATTTACCTCTTTCTCTAAAGTTATATCATGACTCTCTTCTTTCTATAATGTATCCTGTCTAATCATCAAAACCATAATTGCCCTATAATTAGTTCCTGTGGAGTAAATTAGGACTGTCGTATCTGGGCTGCAAAATCCAGATGAATTAGGGTTTTCTGTATCTCTTTGCTGCGATGTAGTGATTGTTTAGAATGTTGCAGGCCTGATATACTAGCAAGCCCATTAAAATCAATGGAATTACTTTGAGGGGCCCATATAAAGGATTTCATGGTTAGGTGTTTAAGGTACAGATGAGTATGCTGTGATTTTTTAAATATTCACAATTCAACCACCTATGATTACATTTTAACGATTAAAGCTACAATTTTATCTGTATGCACTAGAGTAACTTTTTTCCATTATATGGGTCCCATCATCAAAAAAGCAGAGGTAGTTCTTGGTGCTAAATATAAGCATGGTGAAGCTTGGAAAAAGTGTCCTATTAATAACCTAAGAGCATAAGGCAGATTTTATGCAAATAGGTAATCTAGTAAATAATTTGCACTTAAATTTAGGCCTAGTTACGGTGATGTTCCTAAGATACTTACACTGTGATAAATGGAATATTTTCTTACAATGCTGAACTAAGTTCTCTAGAAAGAATAACATGCTGGGTTTTTCTTAATGGTTGCTACTTCTGTTTTAAAATACATTTAAGGCAAACACAAGAACTTAACTCTCTACTTTTCTTTTTATTGGTGATGCATAGATGTGGATGAATGTGAACAGAACTTCTGTGAGCAAACGTGTGTCAATTCACAAGGAAGTTATACTTGCCACTGCAACGGAAGAGGTGGAGTTAAGCTCTCCAGTGACATGAATACCTGCGAGGTACTGTTTTAATCCTTTTGCTCTGCAGGCAGAAATATACAAATGGGGCCTCACGTTTGTGAGATAGCAGTGTATAAAGAGAAAAGTCTAACTCATTCCCTTCCCCTGAATCTGGAGAGGAATATATTAAAAGACTATATTCCTATATAATATAATAAAAACTATAATAAAAAAAAGTGTTGCCTATAATGAGTAGAGAAGATGCACACTTAAAACTTCGGTTTCTCAGTTCCATTAACTCAGTATGTGTTGCCTGTTTTTCTTGCCAAATGAAATTTCAGATAGGAACTTACGAAGTTTCCCTCAGTCATCATCGGAGTTATTTTCTGCCCATCCCAGGACCATTTTCCAATTAACATTAGCTCTCTGGGGTCTTCCACTCTGGGGTTTTTTGCCTGCTGCTACTTGGCCGTTTTCACTAAAGATCCATCAAACGGTTTACTGTATGGTCTTTCACATGAGAAAGATGTATTCTGGACAAAATAATAATATACAGGTAGTCCTCAGTTTACGACCACTCACTCAGCAACTTCTGAATGAGTGGTACTTGCAATTGATCCTCGGAGTTCCAGTTGTTGCAGCATCCCGTGGTCATGTGCTCACCATCTGTGACCTTCTTTGACAGCTTTTGATGAGCAGGTCAATGGGAAAGCTGGTAGGTTGTTGCAAATGGTGACCATGTGATATTCTCACTTAATGACCCAAGGTGATTTGCTTAACAACAGCAACGAGGTCTGCCAGAATTGCTGTCACTAAGTGGTGCAATCACATGACGTATGGAAAACATTACTCCTGCATGCAGGCATTCACAGTAATGTTTTGGAGACATCGTTCATAGCAAAATGGGGTGTGAAATCTACAGCCAAACTGGATGCTCTGGTTTACTAGATCTGCTTTCCCTTGGTGTACAAAACCACTGGATGATCTAAATATAATTCATGCACGTGCACATACTTCTTTGTCACTGTTGACCTCTGTCTAAGCAGAGTGTTTTGAAAAACTTTTATCTCTGACTCTTCCCTCCCCCAGGATATTCTGCCTTGTGTATCATTTGCTACTGCAAAAAGTGTTAAATCCCTCTATCTTGGAAGAATTTTTAGTGGGATACCCGTCATCAGACTATCCTTTAAAAGGAAACAACCTACAAGGTGAGAATTGCTTTTTAAAAGAGAATCTTTTTCCCTCTACTAAGAACATTTATTTGCCTTTCTTTGCAATCAAGATGTGTCATCCTGGCCTCAAACTCTAACTAAGGACCAACTTCCTAGTGATTTTTAGTTCTGAATAGGTAGTTAAAATTGCACTCTTATTTTATGTCACTGGAGTCCTTACAGGGGTGCTTGTATATGTCAGGATGGGTAGTCTGGGGGTTGCAGACCATTTGTGGCACCAGATGTCTCCAAAGTAGGTGGGGTTCAAATTTAGGGACCTGCTTGGGAGTTAGAGTTTTAAGGGCCAAAGTGGGTATTCCCCAGTTTGCCCTCTCCCATGTCTTGAGCTCCTCCCAAATAAGGATCTTTCCATTTTGAGGCAGGGGTTGATGAGCAAGGGTTAAGACACCAATTCTGTCTCTTATGTATGAGGACTGTCTTTGCTGGTTGATGGTCTGGTATACCCATATAGTCTTATGTATGTACCTCTATAGTCACAATCTGCTGTGACTTTGAGCCTTAAACACTGCCTCCCCCAATTAAAAAGAGGGTGTGAAAAAATTGGCTCTCTTTAGTGATGTTTCAACATCACCAGTTAGTGCCCCTGAGGCTCGCATGGTGGGCAGAAAGAGAAAGTACAGCCCAGAGGCATAAAAACGTTGCTCATCAATTATATGTGTCTTTAGCCATCAGTATTGTCCTTTGTAGGTTCCAGATACTTCTTTCCATCTTTTCATTTGTGTATATCAGAATCTAACTATGTGAAACAAAGAAATGCCAGAAGACTTCTTCACAAGTTCTTTCTGGATGCAACATCCATGACAGAGAAGGGAGAGTAGAACCATGCATTTGGCTTGGTCTGATGTTGTGTACATTATTAGTTACATCAGTGGCTCGCAACGCACTGAGTACAATTCTTAAAAAGGGGAACATGAGTAGGTTACCACATGATTGGAAGCCTTAGATTGCACCGTCAGCAGTATCTGTGCAAGCTTCCTTTCTGAAGGTTTCCTACAGCATAGGGAAATTGAAGAAATGGCAGCAGTGGTATGAATGTTTTGGTGTCAGAAGCAGCAGTGCAGTTCTCTTCTCCCCATATGGTTACAGTTTCTGAAAAAAAAATAGATTTTGCAGCATGTGATAGTATAGCAGGGGTTCTGCAAACAATGTTTGCAGGACCAGGAGAGGTTGGGAACTCTCTCTTTCTTTTCAACTACTTCTCTTGCCTAACCAGGCCTACAACTTTCACTGGGACATTCATCAAGTCTGTTGTTCATTTTCTTGTTTGGGGGTAATTTCTTCAAATGATGCCACAGACAGTACATGTTTACTAGCTTAGGAGTCAGTGAATTCTAGGGTTGGGATCAGCTAGGGTGCAGTTCTTGGGGAAGTTATGGTGGGGGATTGAAATTTCCCATAATTTCCTGCCAAGGCTACCTTTCTTAAAATATACAAATTTACATATGAAAATGATTGATGCATGTGTAGGCATCTACCACAGACACAGGGATTGAAAAAAAAATAACCAAATATACATCACAACACAAACTCTGGCTTTTTGTACTTGTGGTCTGACTTTGGTCACAAATACCTAAGTCATGGGGTTTGCCTCATGATGTCATATTTCATCTTCCTCCCACTGATTCTATGACTGATAGTTTTTTTTATTAGATGGGTGTAGTCTGAAGTAGTGTAAGCATCTGGAAAACAGATGGTTTTCCCTACATAATTCTTTTTTTTCCCCCTTATCCTGATATGTTCAGACTTGTAGCTGAATTCGACTTTAGAACCTTCGATCCTGAAGGTATCCTTTTTTTTGCTGGAGGCCATCAAGACAAAACCTGGATAGTCTTGGCTTTGCGCAATGGTCGGTTGGAGCTGCAACTCAAGTACAGTGGAATTGGCCGGGTGACCAGCAGTGGCCCAGTCATCAACCATGGAATGTGGCAGACAGTGGGTATAGTACACGCTGCTATTCTCATGCCTTTAAGTCTCTTAAGCTAGACAAGGTTCATTGGTTTTAGTTGTGGAGTAAAACCTACGCTGTAAGGCTGGACTTTTGACTGCTTTTATATTCTAGCTTGTTTTTAAAAATTATGTGGCTGGAGCTTTCATCCTGTTGCAATTTTAGTGGTTATTCATGATTTTAAATTCTACATCACTTAGAGTGATTTGTAAATACTTTTAAATAAATAATAAGGTGACCCATGCATTACCCATAGTACAAAAAATAGAATTCTTTATATTTAATAAAAGAGAATTTTAGTTTTTAATGTTTAAATACATAATATGATTTTATTTTTCTGCAATGTTGTGCCTTTAGCTAACTTTCAGTGATGTTTTGCCTCTGCGGTTGTCTTTAGAACTGCAGGTCTAATGCTGAGGCAGGGTAGAAAGATGTAAACCTTGGCAAGTACCAGTCCCATTATAGTGAATCCTTTTTAGCTTGTGGATTTTAAAGATGTAGAGAGGATAAAGTCCGTATCAGTTTAGCCAAATAATCAATGTGATAATCTACCTGCAAGAGGGATGTATACCTTCCTGCTTAAAAGAAATAGCTATGATACTGTTATCAGAGATACCATACTAAAATCAAAACATATGAATAATTACAAGAGTTAAAATCCACTTTAACTCTTCATATGTGGAACAGCTGGAAAACTGTAGATTGATTTCAAACACATAACTTCCAGCTAAGGTGACTGAGAGGTTGGTGGCCTTAGCTCTTGATGCATCTGGAAGATACTGATTATGCAACTGAAATTTGAGACTGCTTTTCTTGGCTTGGTGGATGATTTATGCCAGGGATTAGACCCAGGAATGCAGCCCACCTAGTTCTCTTGGAGCTTTTAATTTCTTGTAGGATTGGGCCTTGAATTTGACATTTCATAGTAATTCTGGTTGCTTCTATTAGGACATGTTCAGAAAGTGATTTGGAAGGCTGTGGTTCACCAGTTACCAGTTGGCCCATGGTGACAGACAACACTGTACAGATGACACTTCACTCTAGTTTAGAATGGGTTTAAATTGTAATCTAACATAAAATGTTTTATTCTCTTGACTATTTTTGAGCCTAATAATGGGCTGGATGAGTGTAGACAAACTGAAATTAAATTCAGACATAATAGGAAAGTCCTTGACTGATAGGAATTCAGATTCACACTCCTCTAGATAAAATTGTAGAGTTGTCCAAAAAAGTTCCCCTGGGGTGGATGGAGAACACCTGAAAACTTCTTGATCTCCAGCTGTTTGTGGAATTCCAGATGATAAGAATATGTTTGAAGCTGGTGCACTAGTCACAGTTGTTCGCAATGATTCTTGAATCAGATCTGGCAGTGGCTACCTGTGTTTTGGTAAGAATCATAAAATCATGGAATTGTAAGAGCCTAATGACATAGGTACAACAAATAGCCTTAGAAGATCAATATCTTCATTGTCAATTCTAAGGCTGGTTGTTGTACCTATTGTCATTAGGCTCTTACAAGTGGTAGATAGCTTTTGCCTTTTAGGATCTACCATCAACAGTCAAGAATAAGCAGTCAAGAAAAATGCCACAGACTAGTACTTGGTAGAGCAGCCATAAAGACCTTGGAAAAGATACTCCGATGCCGTGATGCCTACAAAGATCAGAACTGTGCAAACAATAGTATTCTCTGTGACACTCTATGGAAGCAAAAGTTGGACTTTGAAGAAGCAGAATAGGAAAAGTATTGATGCTTTTGAACTCTGGTGTTGGAGAATACTCCTGAGACTACCCTAGTCATCCAAGAAAATAAACAAATGGATCATCAAACAAATCAACAGAGTCCTCACTCAGTGCACAATTGACTAGGTTCAAATTACCCTACTTCAGACAAATTATGTGAAGACCTAGCTCTCTGGAGAAGGCTTTAGTGCTGGGAAACATGGAAGGAAAGAAGAGGATAACCAGCAGCAGGCTGGACAGATTCAGTTACAGTGGCAATGAGTACACCACTGGAAGATCTGAAAGGCCAGGTTAGGGACAGATCATTATGGAGAAAATCTATTTATGAAGTTGCAAAGAGTTGATACCAACTTGATGGCATATAATCAATCATCATCACTGGAATTAAAAACCCCTGCTCAATATAGGACATGAAATTAAAGTATCCCAGATAAAAGCCTCTAGCCTCTGTCTGAATCTTCCTTGATAATTGGTTCCACTATTGAACTGCTGTTACTCTTTGAAAGTTTTTATAATATTCAAGTGGAATTTGCTTTCTTCTAATTTGAGTTCATTATTCCATATCCTGAACCCTGGAATGAGAGAGAACAGGTCTTAACCTTCTGTGTGACATTCCTTCAGATGTTTGAAGAGTTTATTACCCCTTCTCCCCAGTTAAGTTTTCTTTTTTTTAAGCTAAAATATCTGTATCCTTCAGTCTCTCTTCATAAGTCTTGATAGCTAGTCCTCTAATTATCTTCTTCTCTGAACCTGTTCAGATTTCTCTTAATACTTCATAAAATATGGTGCTCAGAACTGGACACAGAATTTAAAGTGGGGTCTGACCAATGCAGAATACTCATGAAATTAAAAGTTGTGTTGATGCAGCTTGAATTTCATTTGCCTTCTTTGCAGCCACAACATGCTGGCTCATATTTAATTTGCCGTCAACTGCTATTCCAAAATCCTTTTTGCAACTATTAATCCCAACAGGTTTCTCTCGTTTTGTACCTGTAAATTTAATTTTTCTTTCCTGGGTAAATAATTTGGATTCATCTCTATTAATTTCATTGTTAGTTTCAGCCCATTTTTCCAACTCCTCAAGGTCATTTTGAATTTTATTTCTGTCTTCTAGGATATTAGCTATTCCATCCAATTCTGTATCATCTGTGAATTTGATAAGTGTTCCCTCTATCTCTTCTTTGAAATCATTAATGAAAATATTTCAAAGAACAGGGTCCAAAATTGATACTATTGACACCACGCTTGAAAACTAACTCCAATTTGATAAGGAGCCATTAACAAGCCCTATTTGAGTGCATTTTTGAGTGGTTATGTAGGCACTTGATTGTTATGCCATTTAGCCCACACTTAACTGGCTTACTAATCAGCATGTCACAGGCTTTGCTGAAGTCAAGGAATACCATATCTATACCCTTCCCAGATTCTTTTAAGGAGGTTACCCAACCAAAGAAATGAGATAAGATAATCTGGCAAGGTTTGTTCTCAACAAATCCATGTTGATGTCTGCCAGTTACCACGTGGTTTTCCAGCTGCTTGTAGAATGGTCTTTTTATGATCTGCTCTAGAATTTTCCCAAGTTCAAATGGCAAGGTGAGAGTGGTCTGTAGTTTGCTATATCTTCTGCTTTCTCCTTCTAGGAGCTAAGGACAGCATTTGCTTTCCTCCCATCAGCTGGTGCTTAAGCAGTTCTCCAGGATTTCTCTAAGATTGTGTAGGTATACCAGACCATCAGCTAGCTCCTTTAGTGCCCAGAGGTGCAAAATTCATCTCGTCCAAGGATTTAAAGTCATGCAGAGTAAAGAAGGATGCCTTAACCATATTCCTGTCATTCTCAAGATTCAACCCTTCTTCACAATTTCCTGGTAGAATACATAATGGTTGGGGAAGACTGAGCTAAAACAGGAGTTGAGGAGCTTGCCCTTTCTTTCTTACCTAGTAGTATTGCCTTCTTTCCTGGGTAGCCGATACACCGATCACTTTATTTTTATTTTTAATCTATTGAAAGAAGCCCTTCTTGTTGTTCTAGGCTGCCTCCCTGTACTCTTCCTTTGTGATTCCTTTTCAGGTATTCCAGAGTCTGGTCTCTAGTTTTCAACCACAGATATGCAAAGCCGTGGGTAACAAAGGCTACCTGTACATATTTACAAAATTCCTTTATTTCCATCTGTGTATATTAGCCATTCTCTCTTGTGCATAGCTCACACAGAGAAATTGAAAGACACGCAGTCTCTTCACCCCCCACCCCACCCCCATGGATGAGGGAAATGGGTTACTCTCCTGAAGAGGGGAAAAAAGGGGGGAGAAACCTTGTTTAGTCATTATAAAAAGTTTTAACTTCACCAGGTAAACAGTTTCTCCAGAGTATCCACTAATCTTTAATAATCTTCAAAGGCATCCATTCTGTCTGCAACCCTTTGCTTATTCCTTTCTTTACACCAGCTTCTTCTTATCAGTCGTTCTCCTAGTTTTCAGACAATTATTTGAGGGAAGAGATGGCTTGGGATAAATCTGCTAAATAAATACTTGAATTTATAGTCAGAAGTAAGTTCCACCAGATCTATATACATGAGAGAAAGCTGCTTGCAGATCAAATGCTTTGTCATGTTAATGTTAGCAAATATTCCTTAATATTTATATGTGTAAAATATTATGAGATTTTTAAATGTTAATAGATAAATCACATCAACATCTGTGCTTTACTAATATTTCCAGTTACACCCAAGCATGTCTGGTTCAATTCCTTAACTCATTCCAAAGCAAACAATTTTCTCCATTCCATGAAATACAAAGTTGAATTTCAAAAAATCTGAACATAAACTTGGGTTCCGTGCAATGAGGACTTATATACAATTAATACAGAGTGTAAAGGAAATTCTTAAATTTTGATTTCTTGGGAAATCCTAGGGAGTGTGAAGTGTTGATGAGCATGTGAATTAGCCAAATGGATACATATATAAATTGTGGCAAATATTTGTTTTAGTTAGCATGTATAAACTTGTCAGTAGGGTGGATATAATGCTTTTCTGAACCCAAAATACATCAATATGAAGTAATGACAGTTTTAAAAAATGCCAAAATACTATATTAATAAAATATTTTATTTAAACAGTTTTATATAAACATTTATAAAAACATTTATAAAAGTTAATTCCAGACATGTCTGGAATTAATGCATTTCACTGAAAGTCTAGGCTGGAGAGCTCCAGCCTGAAGTCTCCTGTGGACCACTTTCCAAGGGCTGAAGAGTTCCATAGTGTGCTGGGAGCTTGTCTCAAAGCCACCCATCCTGGGAGCACTTCAGCAAGTTCCTACATCAGTGTTTCTCAAACATGGCAACTTTAAGATGTGTGGACTTTAACTCCCAGGATTCCCCAATCAGTGCACTGGCTGGGGAATTCTGGGAGTTGAAGTCCACACATCTTAAAATTTCCATGGTTGAGAAATGCTGTTCTAAAGAAAGGCATGTGGGGAGACTCACTTGAAATGGTTCAAATCCACAGGAACTGCTTTGTTGAGATAAATCAGCTTGCCCCTTTGGTTCATCAAAGCAATTACATGTCACTTAATTCAGGCTTATCCAGTAATACTGGCTTCACTTTTAAAGATACAATGTTGTCTTAATGAGGGGAAAAAAGGCAATTGGTGTGTATATATTTCTAAAGACAAGACTGATTCATGGCCACCAGATGATTTGAAATTAGCTCATAGAATAATGTTGTCTCATATGGATGATAGTGTGCTTTTTCATATTTCTCTCTGGATCCCTTTGTAATTGTTTTCTGTCAGATATCAGTTGAAGAATTGGAAAGAAGCTTGGTTATAAAAGTCAATAAGGATGCAGTTATGAAGATAGCTGTCTCAGGGGATTTGTTTACTCATGACAGAGGACTTTATCAACTAAACCTAACAGTTGGAGGAGTTCCTTTTAAGACCCATAATCTTGTCCATTCTGTAAGTAGCATTGTTCATTGCATGCATTTTGTAATTTAATGTAGAGCTGGGCAATTGGTGGTACAAGGGTTAGATCCATCTTGAATTCAAAGTAAGGAAAAATAACTTGCCCATGAGGAAAAAGAAAAATAATATATATATATATATATTTAAAAACTCAAGTCAGATCACTTTTGACCATGAGAGTAAATTTGTGCAGCAGAACACATATTCAGAAGGTGTGCCGAGAGCAGAATTGCTCTCAAAAACTATAGAAGTTGGCTTTTCTGCTCTTGTGATTCTGGGTTGTTGGTTTTTTTGTTTTTTTGGTATTGTTCACTCCTATATTTAGCTGGGAGCTCTAGGGAAGATAGTAGGTCAACATACCTTATGAGCAGTTCTATTTACTCCTCTGCATTCTTTGGGTTTTTTTTCTTTGTACTTCCCTGCTGATTGTGTTTTGCAACTTCTAGTGCAGCAAACTCTATAAAGGTTCAGTGAACTAATTTGCTGACTGTATGGAATCTTATGTTTTATTTTGCAATTCCATATTTTAATTAGAAAATTCCGACTCAAAATTGTTTATGATTCATTTTATTTCTGTGCTTTCTTCCTCTGGGTTTTTACACATCCAGTCAAAAACAATAAAATAAATATAAAACTACAAATAAGACCAACCATTCTAAAATACAGAAGATAAAGCAATGTTCATTTTACAAAAGATGGACAGGCTTAAAAGAACAGGCTCATGGCAGAGAAAAAATACATAACGTTCTTCAAAGGGAGAAAGTATATGAAGCGAAAATGGCATCATTGGGGGGGAAGGTGTAACTCTTAGCCTAAGAAATGCTATCATGCTCCAATAAAATCTTGTTTGTTACTTTATACACCTTCCTCTTCATAAATCCTTCTATCACTCTTCTCACATACTATTGTACCCAGCCTCTTCCCCCAGATGGGTTCACATTTTCACAGCCTGTAGAAATAGGTCTTTTCCTCTGGTTGTTCTCTCCATGCTTTGTGACGCTGCAGCTTCTTGAGCACAAGTTGAAAGCAGCAGGTAGCAAGGTGCCAGGAGGGACCATGAGAGGAGAGAATGACAGATGTGCAGCATCAGCCCTTCTCTTCCTTCCACTGCCTTTATTCCTTTGTAAGAGGAGGCAACTGCTGCTGTCTCTTCTCACCTGCCCAACTTGGTTGGTGATCAGCCATGGCTGTTGTTCTCTGACTTAGGGAAATGGGAGAGGAGAAGCTGTGGACATCGCAGAGGACTGATTCCCTTTTGCTCAGAGCTGAACATCCATATGAAGCAGTTTTCATTGTCTTATGATAGCCAGTCAGTTCCTGTCCACATCCTACATTCATGATGTTATAACATGTATTAAATCTCACAGATGCCCTCCCCACCCCGAAGTTAATGCCTCTCATGTTTTATCTTCTCATTGTGGGGAAAGTACTATAACATTTTTCCCCAGTGCTGTTCTTCTCTTTTTTAGATGAGTTGGACTGAACATGGCATTCCAAATGCAGATAAACTATAAACTTGCATAAGTCTATAAGATCTATCTTTGCAAAAGGCCATTGAAGTAACATAAAACTACTGCATGTCCAGGCATTGGTGTCAAATCATGGTTGACCAAATCTATCTTGTTTTATAATATTTATTCATCTTATATTATTGAACATATAAATATAATTCAATATATTGAAGAGAGATTTGGAAATATTAAGTGTTGTTTTCTAAGTTAAAATATTTGGATAAACACCATTCCAGATTCATCAGCAATTCAAAGAAAGGTAATTCCCTTTATCTTGTTAGATTAACCCTCGACTAGATGGATGTATGAGGGCTTGGAACTGGCTAAACAGCGAGGACGTGACTATCCAAGAGACAGTCCGATTGAACGATAGGATGCAGTGCTTCGCAATTGCAGGGAGAGGCTCTTTCTACCCTGGCAATGGATTTGCTATGTTTAATCTCAGTTATGGTAAGTACGTGGTTTTAATTATTATACGCAATAAAATTTTACAAGAAAATTAATGCCTCTTCTAGGCATGGAGGAAGAAGAAAAAATAACAGTGCTGTTGTAAAATTTAAATAACTCTGAAAAAGCTGAACTCTTACAAAGGATGTTGAATATATGTATGATGCACGATCTAACAGCTTTTAGTTAAAACCTCACACAGTATATGCAATGTGGTTTACTTTTTGCTGGTTCCAATGTGACATACATACCTACCTGCCAGCCAGTGCATGTCATGGTTCATTACTTTGGAGAGAAAATTCACTAGGGTCTAAAATGTAATTGTCATTTTTTTCTCATGACATCTGGCAATGTTGAATGGATTCAGACTTTATTGTTGGTTGCCTTCCCAATGACAGATGCTGAGTTCAGTCCTGAACACAGCAGTCGTCTTTTGAGGGTGATTAATACACATATCTATTCCAGGTACAATTCAAATCTTTTCTGAGCAATGTCATTGTTCCTAATTTCAATATTGTGTTCAAGTAGAAAGTAAAGAGAGGCTGAAGGAAGAGCACAGACTTTTTTTAAAAATTAAATTAGCAGCATGTATTACATCAGGCCCCAAGTTTTAAGGTGGCCTTTCCCAGTCATTTAGTCTTTCTAACATTTATCTTTTAATGGACTGGTTTGAATCTGTTTTCTTTCTCTGCCTTAGTTTTACTGGGTTTTTAAACGGCTTCAAGATGCTTTGCTGTGAGAAATGGTAAAGGAATAAATACATAAGATTAAAAAACATAAATACATAAGATTAAAATAAGATATAGAAGTACAAAAAGCCGGCAAGCTTTCTGTACTGTCAGACATGTAATAATGCACTGAGGTAAGATAGAACTGAGGGCTGTAGGAGGTGCAGACACAGCTCCATTTCTTCCTCTTTCTTATGATTAGACTCACAGCCTTAATTCCTGCAACTCAAGATGTTGGACGATTACAAGAACCCAGCAGATTGACCAGGTTCTTGCTCTCCCATTTCTTGGTGATTAAAAAGTATGATCTTGACCTTAAACAGTCAAAAGTTTTTATGAAATCAGCAACAGAGCTGTTAAAGGGCAATATATTTTTTTCTGGTTGAGTAAAGAAGAAATTGTATTATGTATATACAGCCATCTGTTCTTACCTTGGCGGAGGAAATCTTATACTGCTTGATTATTTGAAATGTTAAAAGTGGTGGAGTATGTGCACTTAGCCCTCTGTTTCTCTTTCTGTAGCTTATCCATTTGATATCAACGAAACCAGGAAGCAGTGGGAAGTAAAAGTAACTATTTTAATTCGTCCAGCCACAGATACAGGGGTGCTCTTTGCACTTGTTAGTAATGAACCAATAATCCCTTTGTCAGTGGCCCTGATTGACTATCATTCCACAAAGAAACTTAAACAACAGGTAAACACACAAATATATATTGAAAGACTATGCCTGTTTGCCTTTGTATCGAAGACTGTACAAAATATACCAAAATGGAGCATAGAAACCAAATTGCTTAATTAAGAGTCCAGTTGATCTCTTAAATAGAGATTTTGACCCGTTTTAATACTTCCAGTTAAAGCAGTAGGGCAGTAGATTCTTGACTTCTGCTAGATTGTACCACATGTGCCTATATACCATTAGAATTGAGACTAGCAAAAATACGAAAGGGAGCAGAGGGACTGATTTTAGCAGTGGTTTGGGGCAGGATGCTGCTTGGATAATGTTCTTTGAACTGGTGGAGAGAGGGCTGGTTGGCTCATAAAATTCTCAGTATTCCCAGATTGGCTTCTGACTACTTTATCCTATGAGAGTTTAGGAAGTGGACCTGTGGGGTGGGTGCTTGATCAACATAGCTAAACTTCATGGACTTTTTCCTTCCATATAACACATTTGTAAAAGAATCAAGATATGCTGATATCTTCATTCATGCTTTTGAGCTTCTCCTTTTGAACTGATACATTCTAAACTAGATGGTCTGACCCAGTAAGGCAGTTGTGGGCATGTTTGTGTGCATAATGCCACAAGGAACAATTTTTAAATTATTAAACAGAGTTGCATAAATACTAATTCATATTTATGAATGCATTGTGTTGTGATTGACTATAAAACAATCCTCAAAGATTTTTGGGGAGTGGATATAGTAGAATATTTTAGAGTGTTTGTCCACTACAATTTCTATGTCATAGTAACATCCTCAGTATTTAATATGTTTCTGAAATAATAGAGCAGGTCAGTGTTTTACTGACAGACATACTTTCTATTTTATTTCCTTGCTATACAGTTTATTGTCTTGGCAGTGAAGAACACTGTGGTTTGCAGGCTGGCAGTAAGCATTTGTGACAAACAAGAGCACTTGGTGGACATCTCCATCAGCAATAGTCGGATAGCTTTGACAGTAGATGGGACTGTGGGACAGAACGAACTAAGCCAGGCACAGCTGGAAAATACCCTGTCTGTTTTAGATTTTTACCTACAGTCATCTGTAAAGACCTATGTGGGAGGACTGCCAGGTGAGTATTAAATGCTACATCCAGAATGCAGATGATCTGCTAATTGATAGAACTGGGGTCAACTTGTCTGTTTTTAATCTACATCTATGCCACATGCTGTCTCAGGCCCAGTATTTAATAAATAAAGAGCCCCAAAGAAATATTGAAAGTGAATGTAACATAACATATGATATGCATGTTGTACATGGAAGAGCAAATAATTTTCCCTAGAAAGTTTGTCCAATATATTAGAACTGATAATAAATAGATTTCCCTTCTGTAGGATTCTAATGCATGAATTCAACCATGTCAGAACATTTGGGATGCAAAGGTATAGACTTGTTCTGCTGTTCATGCAATTAAGCATATTTCCATTAGCAAAACTGTGATTTTTTTATAATACCCAGGCAGCGCATTGCAAGTTATTTACAGGAAGTAGTCCAGAAGCCTATTGTTACAATTGCCGGATGTGCAGAGATAATAAAAAATACCACTCCTCATGCATAAAGGGTTTTCATACGGCTCTCGTCAAATGATTAGTAGCTTCCACCATTACCAAATTTATCAGTAGATCTGTAAATGTTTGGGATGGCTTATATAGTGGATCAGAATTCTGGGATAGTTCACAGAGCATTTTCAAAATTCAGATGTGTTTTTGATTCCTGTAATCATTTGGATTAAGGCACATCTTCACCTTGATTACATTTGGTGATTATTAGGGCTGTGTAACCCTTTGGTGCCAGCTGCAGCAAGAACCTAAGGAAGGACACAGCTGCTTTAAAGAGTTGCAGGCAGGTGCTCTGTTGGCTCCCCCATGTGCACTGGAGCATTGCACTGCCCAAGTGATTATAGTCACGATGAAAGAGCTGTAATATGGGCTCATAATAATGCTAGTGCCATACTAATTACTTGTCCAGGAAATAATCTGATCTTTAATTTTTTAATTTTTTATTCTAGTTGTGGGTATTGTTGCAAAACCAGTATCAGTTTTGCTTCAGGATTGCTCATGTATAACAATAGATTAAGAGACAGAAAAGTCAGCTTGTCAAATCATATCAAATTGCAGAACCCCTCTCTCTCTTTCTTACAGTTATGTAGAAGTGCATTCTGCTCATGCTTCCTGAAGGCCCGGTTCTGCTTTCTAGTATATGTGAAGTATATGCCCAGTGAACGTAGGAATATGCATTCTCTAACAACATGCAGTTGTTAGTATTAATCAAAGCCTATACTAAGGATCTGTCCGTATGGCCCTGTGACCAACTTAAATATATCTCTGTATTCTCAAATGGATACTAAAGGGACATGTGTCTGTGTATCTGTATGAACCAGCTGTTGGAAAGATAAGTGTTTTTTGTATGAATAAGCCAGAAGTATAAGTGGGCAGAGAGGGAGTAGTTACAGTTAGTGCAAAAGCCCAAGGCCTTGGTTCTTAAATATTTTGCTTATGTCATTCTTATGGATACTAAAGGGACATGTGTCTGTGTATCTGTATGAACCAGCTGTTGGAAAGATAAGTGTTTTTTGTATGAATAAGCCAGAAGTATAAGTGGGCAGAGAGGGAGTAGTTACAGTTAGTGCAAAAGCCCAAGGCCTTGGTTCTTAAATATTTTGCTTATGTCATTCTTGTTAATTAATAATGGATACTTGGATATATGAGACTTACTCAGATAATGTGGCAACTTATTTGCTCCCCATTTTTATTTTCTGAGCACTTACATCTGGATGAGTTTTTACAGATGCAAAAGTCTAAAGCCTTGGTTTCTAGAGAAATCCTGCAGATGTGGAATGCAAATGTCAACTGATATCTGCCTTTCCTTGTGTTTTCTGCCTCACCCCATCCAAACATTCAGCTGTTTTTCCCAGCTAATAATACCTTCCTGATAAGTGCAAAGTTCTTCCTGATTCTTTCTGGCTATCACCCAAAGCCTATAAAAGAAACCACAATCCATATGTTTCAGGGAGAGAAGAGAGGGTGGGGATCATGCTACAGATAATTGTGTTTCAGATGAAAGTACAGTTCAGCCACAATTTGAAGTGAAGTCTTCACCTTTGAAGCCCTCTGTGAACTTTCACTTTCATATCAGTCTCCTCCAATTATGAGATCCTCTTTAGAGATTCGTCTACAGACCAGGACAAGTGAGGGCAGCAACAGAAGGAAGGTTTTTTTTGGTGCTGACTCCCTGGTTTTAGAGTGCCCTCCTGAGGTAGACTCGTACAGCAATCTTCTGTCCTTTCAGCAGCTGGTGAAATTGCTTTTATTTGCTCATCTTCATCAGCTATAGTGACTATTACTGGTTTTGGCTTTATATGCTGCTTATAACTATTGTCAGAATCTTAATCACTTCTGGTTTGAAGAGTGGGAACTAGAAATGTGCAAATAAAATGGAAAGTTTTTAATATATGAAGGGGTTAGATCATACCATTATATTTTGGAGGGGATATCAGTCATTGCCTTCTTGGAGGTACCATGGCAGAGTTTGAATAATAGATAGTATTTGATACTGGAAGTGAGCAACATCATACGTTGTATTAGTTTACTACTCCATTTAGCACAGTTTCCCAACCTGGGCAACTTGAGGATGTGTGGACTTCAACTCCTAGAATTCCCCAGGCAGCCAGTCCACACATCTTAAAATTGCCCAGGTTGGGAGACACTGATTTAGTATAACACATTAAGATATACTTCATCCCATCCTCATTTGTGCTTCATTTTTACCTTTAGTTTAATTATTTTTGATCAGGAATGCCTTTTCATCAGTGAACCCTGAAACTTGTCCTTAAAAAAATAGTTGACTAGAGGATAGCGACAAGGTAAAAATACAATCACATTGGTAAATCAGAGTAATCCTACCTAAGTAAACAAATACAATTTAAATTTGTTTTAAATGGAGAAATGCCTCCTTTTGTATGTATGTGTGTGTGCTATTGATTGCTTTGTTCTAAAAGAGTGCAAAGCGGTTTCCTTAAATCCATGAATTCACGATTTGTTCCTCAACAAAACCATTCATGCTTCATGTGACTTCACATTAGCTATTAATGCAAAAGGGTTTCATTGAGTTCCATAACATGCTTGAAAAATGAACTGCAAGAGTGAGTGGATCTTTAAATCCCAACAAAGTTTTCTACTAATTCGTGCAGATCAGGTGTTAGTTGAAAATACAGTCCAGGAGTTGGTTCAGAAACTAGCATCACGGTGTGTGCATGTAAGTGAATAAGAGAATTATTTGTTCTAGATTAAATTGCAAGTGGATTATAAATCAGTATTAGCAATAATGTTTATATAAACGGATTTCATCATGTATTGGCTTATACTAAAATCCACTCTTTCCTGCTCTAGTATTTACATGCATATTGCTAAACATGATTTTTACCATTTCCAGTACAACTCAAGATTTATCACAATCAGATCTCCTTAATCTTATACTGCAGCTTGTTTTTTTTTCCATCAAAGAATATAGTTTCCTATATTCTATGATATCATCATAGGAGAAGCTGATGTTTCCTATCTACGCTTGATATCCCTGTGCAGTATTAGACATAAGATGGAAAACACTTATATGAAGGGTTTAATATAGCTAAAGCTAAATCAGCAGTGGGGTCAAGGGAAGCAAATCACCAATGCTTGTGCAACAGCACAGTGGTGCTTCCATCATTTTAACAAAAAACTCTGATCTTGCGGTGCTTCTGACTTTCGCATGGCAGTAGGGATAAGCACACATCCCAGATGGACCATACAATACAGAGGTGTTTGTGGGGTGTGGTGAAAAGAATCATGATGGCATCAACAATGGGGGGAATCAGAGCTTGGCCTGTTTTTTATGTGTGTCATGTGTTAAACTTTTGTCAAAGAGCAATGTCATGTGCCAGGAGGGTCAAAGCTGGCAAGATGAACAACATGACATTACGGTCCAGCTCCCTCCCCCTTTTCTACATGAGTGCATGTGCAAAGAGGTGGGGCTTGGATTGTGATGCTGCATCCATCATCTGGGTGGCGAAAATTTATTTTAAAGATGAAAGTGAAGGTTTTGAAAGGAGAAGTGCAAGAAAGCAATCAATCTCAGGATGTAAGTTCTGGCTCTTGGTATGCAAAAGTGCTTTCTGCAAATGTTTCTTTTCACAGTGGGGCCCAACTGTTCATATAGCCATCAGTAATGCTAAGATGCATGAACCACTTACAACATCAGAAAGAACAATTCTGTATATTTTGAAATGAAGAAGAATCAGGAGCTTGGTAGTCGTGTTTATTGAAGATGTCTTCCTTCCTTTGTTTTTTGTTTCTTTTTTTTAAAAAAAACAGATGTTCCTGTCACTTCAACTCCAGTCACTGCTTTCTACCATGGCTGCATGACGGTGAAAGTTAACAATCAAGCCCTGGATTTAGATGAGGCTCTCCAAAAGACCAGTGACATCACCTCTCATTCTTGTCCTCCAGTAGAAATTGGTCAATAGATGCCGCTGCAACACAGAATTTTTGTATTCAACATATGTGCATTTCAGTGCTAGCCCTATATATATATATATATATATATATA